TATACGTAATTTTATTATTAAATAAAAATAAAAATAATATATATATATATATATACCCAAGCTCGCCAGCCGAGCTTAATATTCTGAGCTCGAGTTCGAGCGGCTCGATTCGTTTGCAACCCTAGTTGTAACACTATGACGATAATAGTTGATTATAGCGATTAATCAGATAGTCGATTCCGATAATTATAACTAATTGAGTCTCTAATTTGATTATAGATTCCTTGGTGCTAACTCATAAGTAGATGGTTGTAAATATGAATCATCTTGCTATGAATTCCCCAATTCCTCCATGGGTTAAGATGATAACAACTCATTATAACAATTAAATTGGATTGTCAATTCCGACGATTATAACTAATTAAGGGTCTAATCTAATTGTCGATTCCTTGATGCTAGCTCATAAGATGGTGGTAGATATGGATCATTGTTATCTCTCAATTTGTTTTTGGACTAAGAAGATAATAACTCATAATAGCCATTAATCAGATAGTGGATTTGATAGGGTGTTAATTGTTAGTAATTTTATTGTTAATTTCCCCTTTTATTCTTGCCAAATATTGTTTTAATTATTAATATTTACTTATATTTGGTATTGGAGCTTAATTTCAGGAACAAAGCAGAAAATTACCAAAAAGGAGGGACTTTTATGGGAATAGGGAGACTTCTAAGGGCTTCAATTCTTGGGCCCTTGAATTGGTGGGGGACCACAAGCTAGTGGAAAGGATCTAGTCATTTGGGCTCTTAAAAGAAAGCTACGGGAAAGAGACTTGGAACAAGAAGTACTTGGAGGGCTTTGTCCACATGTGTGGGGACCACCTAGATAGCTTTTAGTCATCTTTCTTTTGTTGCTTTAAAAGGGGACAACGTACAGAAGCAAGAGACATCTAGGGCTTTAGTTTTAGTTTTTTATTTTAGTTCTAGTTTCCTTTCTTTGGACTGGCTTCTGACACACGCCAGGTGTTCGACAATATTCCCCAACGGGGAGATTTTCTCATGAGGCGTGGTTAAGCTTTCCTAGTCAAGGGGACAACTGACGATTTGGTTCGACAACTACTGTGAGATCGAATCTGTTTTAATTATTTTCTTCATTTACTGGTATTTATATGTTCCTTGATTTTAATTGCTATGGCCTTGTGTATGATTGATTAGTGCGCAATAATTAATTATTCATATAGGCTATTTTTGCTAAATAGGGGTAATTGAATCCGTAATTGTTCGTTATCTCTATCTCAGTAGCAACTGGCGTAATTGGGTTTATGTCAGGGGAGCATATGATCTAGTTTAAACAAACCCTCGTAGCGTGTTTGTTGGTTAGGATTGGGCCTTTCTAATTATTAATGCAATCTAGAAATTAAATCTTACGGTCGTACCTAGGGTTGTTTTTGGGTTAGAGAAATAGCTAACGGTCGTACCTTAGCTATCGATAAATTAAGGAAGGGTTGGTTGTTTATCGCGTGCATGACAACTATAACCAATCTATTAATAAATGTTGGAATTATTTCTGCATCAATGATCAGTGCATGAACCATTTCTGATGTATACCCTTGGCTAGAGTTTCCCCAATCATTTCTTTTAATTAATTATTTTCTGCAGTTAATTTATTTAGTTAGCATTTAATCCAAAACCCCCCATACTTTGGACTCTAGAAGAAACGAATTATCCCCAATCCCTGTGGATTCGACCCTACTCACCGCTATATACAAAATCTGTATCTTTCTTGAGTAGGTATTTATTATTGTACAGGTTCGGCACCTGTCAGGATTCCAACGATTATAACTACTTATGCCTATTTATACAACTGTTAATAAGGACTATTTATATGATTGTTCATGGTCAACTAAGTCGAACATAGTTGATTAAAGTTACTAATATGATCTCACCTACATCAATTAATCATAATAACTTAAAAGCGTGTGGTTTTGACAAAATTAAAGCACGCCATTTGCCAAAATGATAGATCACGCCTTTTAACCATCCAAAAACTATCAAATAACGCCCAAGTTTTTATTACAAATATCCCTCCTGACCATTGGCACGCGGGCAATTTGGAAATATCTTAATCGTCAGAAGTATTTCGTGCAATTGCATTTTGTGCCATTGCATTTCTTTGGCGCCAAGAGAAGGTCTTACTGAATACATTATTAATTCTGAGAGGTCCCACAACAATTTTTTTGCCAGTAACATACCCCGGTCTCAACCGGTTAAAAGGTTTGCTTGCTTGGCTCATATGGCCCACCACTATCTATTTGTGACCTTTATATTGATTTTCGACATTAGTAGAATCCATTTGTTTCTTCATTTGAGAATAGAAAAGAAACTTAGCTGGGCATCATTGGGATCAAACAACGCAATTCAAATTATTCAATTGATAAAAGGCGCATGAGCATCGGACAATATAAAAAGCAAAAGAAAAGAAACGACGAAGAGAAAAGCTCTTGGCTTAGTTTGTTGGGTACGAACCAAAAAACAGACCCGGCACAATCCTTTTTAAAATCACGACAGCCAAGAATTCCTGCAACTCGCGTTTTTTGCTTTTCCTAAACTATTACTATTTACTACTACCAATACTAATCCAAATTTCTCACGGAAGAGATATTTCCCTAATTACACAAAAGGTAAGCTCCTTGTTTCCAAATGGAAAACCGAATATCTTGGAAAAGGACTTCAATTTGAATCGGGAAACTACCTCGCGCGCCAAATTCCGAGCCTTTCGAATCTGACAGCGTGTCGTAATCACGTCCACGCCAAACTGGTATAGTCTTTTATAAAATTGCCTCACTTTACTTTTTAGTCTTTTATAAAAGGGTTAATTTCAGAAACCTCAAGGAAGGTTTCTGACAATCTCACTTAGCTCCAACCAATTTTAAAAAATTACATTAACCTCCCTCCGTTCAATAAAATGGCTATAATACCCTCTAGTTAATAGATAATTTATCACATATGTGGGATACAAAAACCAAACCAAAAGTAAAAGAAAATATAAAAGCCTGCAACAACTCGTCATTATCTCTAACTCCACTTTAATTAACAATAGTTTCTTTTCGCTTTCCCTCCCTTTTTTTTTTACCTCTTATGATTCTCTCCTTCCTACCTATAACTCCGCAGTCTCTTCTACCCATCAACTACACCACCATGCAAACCTCACGAAATATTTATTTCTTGTCTATTTCTCTTTTTCCGTGGTACTTAACTATCAACTCCCTTGTTTATTTCTTCTCGTATTATAATTTGCATATATTAAAGAATCAAAATTTGACAAATTACAAATTGAGGAAGCAAATGAAAATTTCATAGTCAAATTAGATGGAGATGATGAAAATGGTTGTGACAGAGAGGAAAAAAATGAAATTAATGGGCTATGGTTGGAAGAGAAAAAGGGATGACACTGGGTTATGCTATTATGTCTATTATGCACTAGAATCTAATTTCTTCATCTAGTTTCATTTTTATTTTATTTATAAGTATTTGCGGTGGTTTGTCATAAAGATTAGTTTCTCTGTTCCTAATACCATTAGAGTATGGGGTTGCTCTTGGCATAGCTACCAATAAATTGGAATTTTAATGATACCAAAATTGATAGAATTTGGGAATTAAATTGGAGTTTGCTTGAAAGGTTGATGAGGTTTTGGGTTTACAATTATTGTGGAAGCATAGCAAATTTGGATAAAAGTGTTTGTTACTTTTTTTTTGGTTAAATTGATCACTAAACCTTTTTTTTTTCACTTTCTTTTGATGTTATGATATTGCATAATGGTATTTTAGGATACGTAAGTCTAATTCTAACCTAATGGGTCTATAATGTTACTTAAATAGTAAAAGCAAGAGAGGTCAATGTAATTTTCTAAAATTGGGGGGAGCTGAGTGAAATTGTTAGAAACCCACCTTGGTTTCTGAAATTATCCCTTTATAAAATTGTCAAACTGGTATAGTCTTTCATAAAATTGTCTTAAAATTACTTTTTACTCACTTTTCTACAATTAACACTATTAACCAAATATAAATAGAATCTATCAATTAATACATTATTTGATTAAAATCAAGGGAAGAACAATCATAAATTTAATACTCCCTCCGTCCCACTTTGATAGCCCTGTATTCCTTCTTCATCTGTCCCAAATTGTAGTCCACTTTCCAATTGAAGAATGCAATTGTATTTTAATTTTCTTAAAATACCCTTATTCAATGTAAGTAGTTGTTACTATAAACCTACCCCATTTAATGAGAGTTGATTCTTTTTTTACTATCAATTCAAGTTCCCATAAAGTTGTACCATATTTAATGTGAGGGTATTTTAGGAAAATAACAATCTAAATTTACTTTTTCAACAAAGTTAACTATTTTTTTTTAAACTGTGTGAAAAAAAAAATATGACTATCAAAAGTGGGACGAAGGGAGTAATAAAAATGCAACCTATCAAAAAGCACTCGGTCTAAACTCCAAGAAATGACTTTTACTGCTGCTAGCGGTCCAACTATTTTATTCATGATTGCTTTTGTTTTGCATTTACGTTTTTTCCATGCAACTTGGCTTGTTTGGATTTTTTTTTTTTTTTTTTTTTTGGGTACGTTAACTTCCAAGAATACGTAATAACTTGGCTTGTTTCCATGCAACGTTTTTTCCTGCGTAATCTTGAACCTACTATTGCATCAATATTTGTTGTATGTCTCTAACCATAAAACTAAACCTAATATGGCTAGAGACATACAACCAAGAATACGTGAATGAATGTACCCAAAAACAAAAAGAATACGTGAATTCGACATTAGGTTTATGGATTCCCGAATCGACATGCAGTATTAAGTTTATGAATTCACGTTCAAATACGCGAATCAATAAACCTAATACTGCATTCACATATTCTTAGTTGTATGTCTCTTGTTGGTTGTAAGTCTCTAGCCGAATGAATATTCTCCAAGATTTTGGTAGACCCTGTTGATAGGGTGAAGAAGCATTGTTTCAATTAAGCACGTATAGGATTCAACAACTATTATATAAGCATGGAAGCGTGCAACTGGAAACTCATGATTGCCAGAGCTTTGTACCTTTCTTCATTCTGCTTTCCTTTGTCTAATCGAATCTTCATTACCCAATTTATACCTAGAGAAAAAAGCACCAATTCCACCGAGTTGATGATGGAATTATTGCCGTCGATGTTTCTTCTTCTGTCTCTAATTCCGGCTGCATATCTTCTCCACAAGCTTACCCTGAGAAAGGAGTCCAACACTGTAACAACCAAGTTTGGGGTTGGAGAACCAAAGCCTTTACCAGGTACCATGGGCTGGCCTCTAATTGGAAAGACTTTTGAGTACATTTCCAAACGTCGACGAGGTCTCACATATGAGTTTCTAAAAGAAAGGTGGAATAAGTATTCGTCCTCCATTTTCAAGACTTCATTGATTGGAGAGACCGTGGTGATCTTTTCTGGTGCCGAAGGGACCAAGTTTCTGTTCTCGAACGATAAGAGGTTGGTCCATGTTTGGCGGCGGAGTACCATAAAGAAAATATTTCCCAAGATGGAGAAGCCTTCCAGTGAGCACTCACGCACACTGCGTAAACTTCTTCGATCGATTCTAAAGATAGATGTGCGTCGAGAATACATTGGATTCATAGATGAGGCAACCAAAAATCATTTGCAGGCATATTGGAACTGCAAACAAGTGAGCCTTAGCGATACTGCAGCGATATACTTGTTCAATTTGTCCTGTAATATAATCTCGGGCATCAAAGATCCAAGAAAATTTGAGAAAATTCAAAAGGATATGCAGGACATAGACAACGGTTTGCGATCAATGCCCATAAACCTGTCAGGAACGGCTCTGAATCGTGCCATCAAAGCGGCCAGGCATATTCAGAAAGAGCTTGAGGAAACAATCAGGCAAAGAAGGATTGATCTTTCAGGACATGATTCATCTTCAGTGATGGACATCATGTGGCATTTGATCCTGGCAACAGATGAAAAGGATCAGTCATTTTTCGACGAGGACATTGCAAGCAATTTGGCATCTTTTTTACTGGGAAGCTACTCAACCATGCAAAGCACTATCACTAGCATCATGACTGTCCTTAAAGGTAAGTTTGGCAACAATTTCGGCAATTCCTGAAGGCTAAGCTAGTTAACTATTAAAAGTTTATATTCAATATAGGATTTTTCTAACGTGTGCCTATTAAACATTCACTCAACACATATAATAAATTTTGCATTACCTATCAATTTATGTATGTACACGTACTAACAATTATTACCATCCCTTACATTTATGCACTTTTTCTAATGAATTTTACTTTTTCAAAAATTTAACACTTGAAGTACATCTTAACAAGTGGTAAGAGGCACCTGTTAGACACACTCTTCAATATGTACGAATATGATGACCAGTTACAAAATGTAAGATGTCGAATGATGTTCATGTAGGAAACTAAACTTGATTAGGCCAAGAACGCTTAGATTTTGCAGGTTATAAGTAAGTATATTACTCTGGTCACCTTGGAAGTTCTTTGGATAACATTAGAATTGGTTATTTGAATTTCTCAAACTGAACAAATACCTTTATTTTTTCTGGAAATTTCAATCTTAAAGTTTGTCTGAAATTTTGCATGGTTTTTTGTTGTAATAAACTTGCATATGCTGCGTAAATAACAAAATGAAATTGTTGATGCAAAGGAACCGGATGATAAACTTACTTGGGAGGACATACGGAAGATGAAATACTCTTCGGCTGTTGCTTGTGAAGTGTTGAGAATTTGACCAGGGTCCGGTAGTTTTAGAGAGGCTATGACCGACTTCATCTATGAAGGATATTTAATTCCAAAGGGTTCCAAGGTAAATTCATTCCTTCACTGCACCCCCTAAAGTTCAGGTTTAATTTCATTTTACCCCAGAACATTGTTGTAATTCTACTTTACTCCTTCGAAATCGAAACATCACCACTTATATTTTCTGACTGAATAATTAAGATAACGTCAAAAAAAAAATTGCGATATAAACAACCCTTGTAAACACCTGTGTTTCCTTTAATTCTTGGAGTATAAAAGCTTACCCTTTTCCAACTTTTGCTACTCAGATAAACTCAATAAAATTTAAGAGTACGTAATTTAAACCGATTGAAGATCAATCTTTTTACCAAGAAAAGAAGGTAATCTTAAAGTCTTTTGAACAGTTTTCTTATTTTCTCTGCTTTTACTAACTATTTAAATTAAATGGCTAATTTGTTTCACTTTTTCCTTAATGCCTTTTATGTTTCGTTTAAAGCGTAAGTTAGTCTTTTTTTTTATTATTGATTTTGCAAAAGGACGTTTGTTTAGAAATGGTTTGCCTGCTAGTTTTAATATTCCAATGGTAAAGTACAACTAATACTAATTAATTTTGGATGGGAAATCTATAATACAAATAAATGATTATGCTTTACTTGAACAGATTCACTGGACTTCTGATGCCACACACAAGAACCCAAATTACTTTCCAAACCTTGGGAATTTGGATCCATCAAGATTTCTAAAGGACGAGGTAACCCCTTATGCATTTATTCCATTCGGCGGAGGGCCACGAATGTGTCCTGGAAATGAGAATGCATGAGCAGTAATACTCAGCTAGATGCATAATGTGGTGACTCGTTTCAAATGGGAAATACTACTGATTCCCAGTGGCAAAATAGTACGTTAATCTAGCTATAAGGCCAGCTCAAGAACTTCTTGCTATTCTCCATCCTCACAAGCTCTGAATTTGTTAAGATCTTTTTATTCCTTATCTTTCTTTCTTTCTTTCTTTTTTGGTTATTTTTCCTAATGTTTTCTTCCCCATAAATAATGTGAAGCTAGTGAGGCTTCAAGCCCAGGTCAAATATTCAGTTGATCAATTTCATCCTTATTTGGTTCAATTCTTGTTTGGCAAATATGGACAAAGGGTATTTCTAGTTGTGTTACGTGGGATTGTATTTGTTACATGTATTGTTGTGCACTTACATTATGTACTTGTACATGTAAAATTACTCATTCTCTTCGTAAAGTTTGTTCGTGTACATCAACAGATCTTGTAAATCATACAACAATTTGTGTTCAGTGTAAACCGTGTTGTATAAGAAGTTTAACAATAGGACCCAACCGTACCAAATCACTGTTGCGCCTGCCCCATGTCCCCCGTGTGTATTGGGTTTGCTTGGAAGATCAAAGTCAATAATTTCAAAAAATCATCTAAAGTTTTTTAAATATACACCTCAAATACCTAAATACACAGAAAAATTTTTTCCTTCTTTTTTCTTCTTCTTTCTCCCCACACCTCAATCTATCACCACACCAAACACACCTCCATCGTCAGTTGGCACCTCCACCGCTGCCAATAGACTTTTTTTCTTTCTTTCTTTTCTCCCTTTCTCTCTTCTCCTCCCGCTTTCCTCCTCCTCCCCTGATGAGAACATGAAGATTGTCCAAGCAAATCGATTTAGTTAGCTAATTAGTCCAAGTTGTGTCATTTATTTAGTTATGTAAGCAAGGGTTTGTTTGTCATTTACCTTGCCAAATTAAGTCATTTATTAGGGATTAAAAATTCGGCCAAACCTTGTTTTGGATAGCCAAATTAAATTGGTTATTAGTTTAGTAAAGAAGTGAATCCAATTCACTTTAGGGTTTCTAGTTTAAGTGAATCCAATTCACTTTAGGTCTTCTAGTTGTATGGCAATATATAGCCTAAGTAAGGAACCTTCATAATCAGTTTTTTATCAATAAAAATTTCGTGAGTTATTCACTTTTCTCTTTCCAAGAGAGCTTCTTTGAATAATTGAGAATCTTTCTCAAGTTATTCATACCGAACTTATCAATCAAGTCACTCCTTGGTTGTGGTGTTCTACTACTTATAGTTTGGTTCGCTAATTCGTTAAGTCGTGGGTTGAGATAGTATCAATATTGTTCATGACTTCTAGAGTTAATAGGGTCAAGTTTTCCGCTGCCAAACCGTTGGTATTAGTCATCTAGATCCAGGGCATGTGACTACGGGTTTCGTCTTCGATGGGGTTCGTATCATCCCCACTTTCTTGTCCCCTGCTGGTCGTGTGACCAGAGCTAGTTGTAGGTTTAGTTGCTCGAGCTGTAGGGGAGGTGCGTAGCGTGGGAAAGGGAGAGGAAGTGGAGGAGAGGAGACGAGGAAGAGGGATGAAGGGAGGAGGACGAAGAAAGAGGGAGGAGAAGAGAGAGAGAGAGAGGGAGGAAAGAAAGAAAAAAAAAGGTGGGCGAGAGGCTTTGGCGCCAGTGGGAGTGGGGTGGTAGCAGTAGGGAGGGAGGAAGGATGGGAGAAGGAGGGAGGAAGAAGAAAGGAAAATAGCAAAGAAAAGGAAAAAGAAAAAGAAAAAGAAAAATTGTTTTTCCAACTCTCAAATATACAAAATATTTTCTACTGGTTCTACAATAAATTATAGTAAATTTTATACAAATACCCAAAGAACACACCTTCTAAATGGACTCATTATTGTTGCTTGAGGACTGGCTAGCAGTGTTACCATGGCAAACCAGAGCAAGAAGAACCCTGCTAAGCCCCCATAGCAAAGGGAAAGTAAGACCTCACCTTATTAATCAATTTCAAGCTATAGAGTGCCTTTATTTCATATACAATCTCGAATCACAGGAGTTCAAACCTAAATACGGCCTCCAACTGAGCTAGGTAGGAAACCAAAGACGGATCCATACAAAGCTCTCAGTTCTTCCAAACGTAAATTAGGTACTAATGATGTATCAATCATTTTCAATGCAAAAGCCTACACAAGAATTTCGATGAGAGACCGTTGTAGTGACAGGTTCATGAGTTTGAGTTATTGGTCTTACATTAGTTTGAGAGCAAAAGAAATATGGCCCTTTACTAAATTGAGGTATGAATTTCATGTTTCTACTTTTTGCATATTTTCACCTTTTAAAATAGGTTTTTTTTCCCTTAAATTCTCTGATCTTATAAGCACTATTCTGTGCAAAAAAAAAAAAAAATTGAGAGTGGACTTACGAAAAATTTCAAACATTATCTTCCACCTCCTAATTTAGAAAATTTTAACGAAAAAAATTTACTTACATACAACTAAAAATCAAGCCTATCTCCTATTAGACATAGAATGGACAAACCCTTTAAAATAAGGAGTTATTTTTTTAAGTCAAACCAATATTTATTCATTTTTTACATTTGGTCATTTGAAAAAATAACTCCTCCCACTTAGCAATGCATTTGTCATGGTATTAGAATTTGAGAATTTGAATGCCAGTACACAACTGTAAATTCATTCAAGTGTACTTTCATTGAGAAACAATGGTTATATGTTGCCTTAAAAGGTTTAGTTTCCCAGAAAACATCACAAATGATGGAACAAGGGACTGCCAAATTTATTGATTTGACAAAAACATTTGGTACTAACTAAAAGAGTAATAAACATATTAGAAGCTTCAAGAATTAAATCAACTCCTTTGACACATTCAGTACCTTTTTCCTCCCTCTTTCAGTATTAGTATTGCTAAACAACATGAGTTTGAGATTGCACAATTACTGTACAAAATATTAGACCCGTCAATTTCATGATATAAAGCGAGTAGAAGAAAAACAGGAGAACAAAGAATAGCCATAGAGTTTAAAATCAATTTGCAACTTTAAGAATTTGGGACAAGTTTTCTATTAGAATAAATTGCACTTAACCCCCTCAACTTCCATTTTGTCTAGTTTTGACCAATTTAAAGACCTATTATATTCTTATATTTTGTGTTGTAGCATTTGGCCTATCCTTTTCAAGGCAAGAAATCAGGTTTTCGAAACCAATTTAGTAAGTTTATCTGCTAGAATTGAAACTCCATTTTACCCCTCTGACAATGGGAGATGTTTTTAGATGATGTTTATTCACAATACTAGTTTCATTATATGGGAAATTTGTGGTTTTTTTTTGGTAGATTACAACAAAGAATTTTCTTATTTTGGTATAAGAAGTTTATTCATAGCTTATAATAATATAACAAAGTAAATTACCAAAGAAGTTTTCAACTTATTTCAATCGTTAACTTTTGATCACTCATCTATTTAATGATCAAAATCAGATGGGTTTAAAAAAAAAAAACTCAAATTGGATGGAATAACAAGTTTATTTTGTCTACTACGTTGATCAATCCAAGGTTGGTGTGTTGGTCATATGCTCAATCTTCAATTAGACGTTAATTAATGAGGTAAAACTATTTGCAAGAAAAAAGTCATAAAGGAGACATTAATACCACCTAATAAGTTCGAGCAGTTGACCATAATTTTCCCTCTAATGACAATAATAAAGGTAGTGCCAAATATGCGTAAGATCTAATCTTTGATACAGAGTAGTTCCTAGTTCCTAATCAAATTCTCTATTTTGTTCCTTAGAAAATAAATTCTCTTTTTGTCGCTAGCCACTCGAAAAAGAAGAAGAAGAAGAAGAAGAATTTCTTTCTTTCTTTTTCTTCTTTTAATAGCATTTTGCAACTAACATGTTGTCCGACGGTTTTCCCCTTCCCTCCCATATTCTCTCCTCCTCTCTCTGTTTCTGTTTCCGCGTCACAGCTCTTCACATTCTCATCATTCTTCAATTTTCGACTGACCCCATTTTCTTTCTTCGATTATTTCCCACATTTCAATTTTTAAAAGCTCTCAAGAATCCAAAATCATCATTTTATCAGACCACGTTTTTTCTTGCCATCCCCAAAAAATAATTCAAGAATAACAGAATGGCAACTATGGAGAGCTTGATTGGGTTAGTGAACAATATCCAAAGAGCCTGCACTGTATTAGGTGATCATGGTGGTGGCAGTGAAGGCATGTCCCTCTGGGAAGCTCTTCCTTCTGTAGCTGTTGTTGGTGGCCAGGTCACATTCATTTTTCTCATCATTTTAATTCCATTCTTGATTCTTTTTGAGTTCTTTTGTGATGCTTTTTATTAATCGTATTGACGGAATTTGTGATTTTTTTATCTGGGATTTGTTGGAAATGAATCAGAGTTCGGGTAAATCATCGGTACTTGAAAGTATTGTTGGGAGAGATTTTCTGCCTCGTGGATCTGGTATGCTTCTCGGCTGCTGTTTGATTTTCTTGCTAGTCCTTTTTGGTGTATAATCGTAATGATTTATTTTGCATTATGTATTTTGTTGAAATTGATATCATTGAGTCTTTGGGATCATTATTAGTATTTGTAAGCAAAATTAACATTTGCTTGAGAGAATTTGTGAAATTTGGAGCTCATGGATGTCTTATATTGGTGGCCAATTGTGTTTACTTTTTTATGAAATGTACACGAAAAAATTGTATATTAACAGTACATTTTGCACTAAAATCTTACAAATCCACTTATGATAAATAACTAAAATTGGTATTTGCAATTTAGATTCCAATTTTATGCGTTATGTATTAAGTATAACACTTACTTCTGAGGCAGAATTTTCTTTTGGAAGAGGAGTTATGGGGTTTAATGTTAAGCCATCATCCATCTCTTCGCAAGTTTTGAGCCATCATCCATCTCTTTTTGATTGCTAGTTTCAGTACATTATGTGTTATACTTTCCTAATATTTGTCCTGTTAAATTTGAAGGTATTGTCACTAGGAGG